CTACGGTCCATGGGGTCGCAAAGAGTTGGACACGACTGAGCGACTAAACACCACCACCACCAATAGCTGTGTTTGCTACAGTGGCAGAGGTCGGGAACTGAGACGGAGGTCACACGGCCCAAAAGTCAAAACATTTCCTATCTGACCCTTTTTTCAGTTTTGTTGATCAATGGTTGAAAAACGTGAACTCTCACTGGGGTTTCTGTCACTGACCAGAATGCATTGTCAGTTTCCTCCTGTGGTCTCTAAGCAGCACGGCTTCAACCTGCTCCCTCCCCACCACGGACATAAGCTTGTCTGGACCGAATGTCTCACTCTCAATCCCAACTTTGCTGTCTTCATTTGCTGCTGCTCTTTCCCCCCTCCCCTGGTTTTTACTTTAGGGCTTTGCTGTGCGTGCCTTCCCTGACATGGTCACCAGCCTCCTGCCCACCAGCAGAAGCTCATTACTCAAGCTGGAGTCATGTTACTTCCTTTCCCTCCTCCCCAAGTTCTTCATAAATTTTTGTACTACTTTTCAAATGCGGCTGAAAATCAATTTTTTTCCCCCTTGCTGTTACCGCTTTCAAATCCCAGGCTCTGACAAATAGCTACTCTTCTGCGCAAAAAAAAAAAAAGGTTCCCCTCTTGTACAAAGCCCTTGGAAAAGAGAAGGTACACCCACCAGTATTCAGAGAACAGGAAAATGAAGAAACAACCTTGCTTTTCTGATGGGACACACAGTAAAGGCTTTCTGTGTACATCCCCGTATACATTTAAAACCAAATTTGATCTATAAAAATTAAATTTGCACATGATTTTCCAGGGCATATATCTCTAATATACAGCAAGGAGTGTGACTGTTGTTTTATTAACCACTGGCAATAAAACCCAGAGTTTTCAAAGCTGCTTTTTAGGGCACACAGTATGTATCACCCCCTGGGACCTAAGCCCAGGGTTGCCTCTTACCCACTGTGTTACGTCGGGTCAATTAACCTCTCTGTGTCTCAACATCCACATCTTCCTAAAACAGGGAGAGAGAGGAACTGAAACTAACCTATCCTACAGGGTTGTTCCGAGGACGGGATGACATGAGCAGTTTACGCAGTGCCTGGTACACAGAAAACGCCTTGTCTGTGTTAGCGAGCACTGTAATTCTGAGGTTTCTTTCTTTTCCCCAACCCAGATTCAAGAATAAGAACATACTGGGAACAGTGCTGTGAGACTCAATGTTTCACGGTGAACATGAAGTTGTTTCTGCCCCCATCCCTCTGGTTTCCCGTACTCTTGGCTCCTTTGGGGTGGGGGTGGGGGTCCAGGGATGGACACGGATCCAGAACTAGCCAATCACAGTATTCAGCCCCCGCCCCACTCCCAAGTCCTGCCTTCACCGAGGATCTGGGTCTCTGTGTTTCTGCTGGGTAGGCTATTGGCTGGAGCTGTTGGTTGGCCACCTTTACTAGCCACTTGGAAAAGCTTCCCAGAAACAAAACCAACACAGTAAAATAACAAACCAAAAAAAAAAACCCACAAAACCCCAGCTGTGAGAGATGAACAGGGCAATGAAAATGCCCCTAAAACAAACAGGAGCCTTTGGATCCAGTCATGGTGTCCGGAAAGCCCCATCACATGCGCTGATTTTTTTAGCTTATGGCAAGTTTCAGCTCGGTTTTCTGTCCCTTGCATCCAAAGAGTTCTGCAAAACCCTAGTGAACTGACATGACCTACGACCAGACCTGAAGGCAAACCTTGCGCGTCTTGGTGCTGCAGAGAGCATGGCAAGGAGAGGTGGTAGCTGTGAACTCTAGGCCCGGGTCTGCCTGTGGCCAGTAGGGGGTGGCTGGGAGGGCCGTTTCATCTTTCTGGGCCCTGCTGTACTTGTGTGTTAAGGGAGAGAGGTGACTGAAAACCAATCTCCGAGACCCATTTTCAGCTTGACCATCCCAAGAGTCTCTCTGATTTCTGGGTTTGTTTCAGTTGCGGATACTGTGGTCTAATTGGTTACCGATTCTCTTTATTTTCCTGCTTCCTTCTGTTTCAACTTTTAAAATTTTCTATTAGACTCTCAGTCACTATACTCCAAGTGTTTATTGTCTTCACCTTCAATTGCCTTCTAAAGAAAATACATTTATTTTTGTATACTTGGGCATAATGATCCCATTTTCTTCCCATTCCTGTATTTTTCAATCTAATTAGGGTGATAAGTTCCTTGAGGGTTGAAACTAGAGTTTTCCTGTGGGTGTAAACATTATTATTATTGTTATTTTTTAAATTGGCAACCAACCTGCCAGTTTTTACAGAGTGGCAGGATATGGGTTTTAAGTAATGTAAGCAGGAAATGGGTCTCTAGCCCACACAAAATAAAGGCAAAAGTACCGATTTACCCTGAGTCCACAGCTGCCTTACTCGTTTATAATTGTAGTCTGAACCAAAATTCTCCCACAGAACTTCAGCGTAACATCCACATCTAAAGAAGGTCAGACCAAAAAAGGGAGTTAAGGGGACATCCTGTGGGTCTCACGTACCCATGTAAATGATCTATTTTAGGGCAGTATCACTCTTTTCTCGTCAGTGGTGGGGTTTAGGGCCTGAGCTAAGTAAAGATTACCTTCATATCACAACATTCATTGATTTTTTTTTTTTTTTATTAAATAGCTCTGAAGTCCAGAGGGGATCACAGGAACTGGCTGAAATGTGGACTCATCACCTGCAGACAGAGCCCCCAGAGGATGTCACCCGCGATGCTTCCCTGTTTGGTACCCATGGGGCTGGTGATCCCATGCTTGCTCATCGGGATCTTAATTATGAATGAGAGCCCAGGCCAAGGGCCTTCATGATGACTTCTTGGCAGATACAACCAAATGACCTGGAGGCAGAGGTTCCAGGGGTGGTTGGTCCAGCAACTCAGGGATGCCGTCAGGGCCCGAGTTTGTCTGTCTGTCCACTCCTCTGTCCACAGAGCCTGCTCTGACCTGTCACTGACCTCCTTCAGGGCTGAGAGGACCTGTGGGTACCTGCTTCCCCATGCACCTGCAGCAGAAGGTGGGACACTTCGGCCCCAACATTCTAAGCATGAGTCTTTGGTTTTAGTAACTTTACTTTGATAAAATTTCAGATTTGCTGAAAAGTTTCAAGAACAGTATAAGGAGCTCCTTCACGGTGTATCCCTTCAATCAGATTCATAAGATTTGATATTTTCCACCTCTCTCTTCTTTCTCTCTCATTTCTGTCTCTCTCTCTCACACACACACACACACACCCTTTCCCTATCTTTTGAACCATGGAGAGCTAGTTGTAGATACTGAGAATAAGAACATTCTCTTTCTCATACAACAAAAGCGCAATGATCAAAGTCAGGAAATTTAAAGTGGACTCAATTCTAATCTAGTCTGTACTCAAATTTCAATAACCGTCCCAATAACACCCTTTATGGATAGTTTCCTTCTGCTCCAGCATCTTCAGGATCACTTAGCTGTCATGTCCCAGTCACTCTGTCTTTCAGAACCTTGGCATTTTTGAAGAGTACGCGTTAGTTGTTTTAACTGGGTTATTTGCTTTCTTATCATCAAGTTTTCAAAGGTTTTCCATATTCTACATTTAAGTCCTTATCAGATATGTGATTTGTAAATATTTTCTCCTCACCTGTGGCTGATCTTGTCATTAATTTCACAGTGTCTTTGGAATAGCAGACATTTCTGATTTTGATGAAGTCTAATTAACCATTTTTTTCTTTTATGGATCATGAGCATGAGTCTTGAACTCTTTCTCACTGGACCAGCCTAGGTTACAAGTTCATGAAACAATGATAGTGCCTGGAACAGAATATACTAATGGCTTGAGTCAAATGAATTGATCCAACCCTGATGTCTTCCCTGAAGTGCAGAAACCCAAGAGGTGGAAAAGCCCATTTAAACCCTGGGCACAGTTAGGAACAGGCTAGGCAGCCCATCAAGAAAGATCCTCCAGTCATAGCTCCCAGGGGAGAGCCAGGCGGCCCGTTGCACACCCTCAGTGTGGGCCCCCCTGGCTCCAGGGACCTACTCCACTAGCACTGGGCCACATGTTCCAGTTCCAAATTCCGAAAGCCTCTGCACAACATAAGTCTTCAAACCCCACTGTCAGACTGTGGCCTTCTGTCCCACACTTGTAGACGATGGTGTGCACAGCTCAGCATCTCCAGAGCCACTTAGACTGCCCTGCCCAGGGCCCCACGAGATCCCCACGGGATGCAGGGCAGGTGGGCAGCAGTTTCACTGATCATTCCCCCTGGCACACACAACCTGCCTATTCCTCACACCCGCCCAAGCCAGGGCATTGGTCTGGCATGTTCTTGCCCTCTTCATTTGAAAGCACCAAGGAGAACCCACAAGCCATGATTTTTTGGTGCTGTATTCCCTCTGCCTGTGTTAAAGCACGTCTAATTCAAAGACCCATAAGCTGATGATTATGGACCACTCGTTTCTAACCTATTCACATGTTCTCGCCTGAATTAATCAAGTGTATAATTGGAGGAGGGGATGGTGGGAAGGAGAAAAGCTGAATCAAGTTTGGAAAAGTGTCAGCGTGCCAAATTTCTAAACGTTTCTTTGACAGCAAAAGTTTTGTGCCCCTCCCCTCTGAGAAAGGGTGCGTTATTTCCACATGCCTCTGCCTCCATTTTATTCTCATCAATACAGGCAGAGCTCTTTATTCCTCCTGTCAAGATGGGGGAATGGTCTTCGTGTGGTTCTAGGACATGCATGGGTTACCAGCGGAGACGCAGAGAGAGTTACGAGCTGCTCTGGAATACAAGCACGACCCCCAGCTCCTCCCCTTTCACCAAATGCCACTCAAATTGTATCTGAAAAGCCCCAGTTTTCTATGTCCATGTCACCTCTGTTGACACCTAACTGTGGCAATGTATCATTAGTGTTATGTCCGAACTCCACATGCTGATGTCCTCCACAACTTGATTTTGGAGGCTGAGTAATCACATTTACAGATAAAGGAAAGAGAAAAAGAATTTTTGAAGTTCCACTTACATTCTTTGGACATCCCCACTTCAAAGCACTTCTGGAGCCGACAGTACTGGCATCGATTCCTTGTGACTTTATTAATAACACAATTCTTATCTCGGTGACAAGTGTAAATCATGTTCTTCTGAATACTTCTGCGGAAAAAGCCCTGCGGGCAAGTGAAAAGAGGAGAAAATTAAGCAAAACTACTGAGCTTCAGGAGAAATCAAAGTCAACCTTATCAATGCATTGACTGCCCGTTCTGAGTAATGAAGTGATGGCAGCAGAAAAGTTAACTTATTTAAGCCTTAAAATTCTTGTATCCTTGTGAAATATGATAGTCATATTCAGAGTCTCTCCCTTTGCTGCAAAGCAGAAAGTTCCTTTTAATCAAAACTGGACATGACTGTTATTATCTTGCTAAAAGAAAATGAATGCCTTTGGAAATACAATGCAGCGTTGACTTCCCTCCAGACAGGCTTAACTTCCTAAGTGGTTCCCATGCTGGCCAGAGTGATTTCAGGTGAGTCTACTGTCAAGACGCCCAACAGAAGAACCATTCAGTTTGCAGAAGGAATTATACGCTTCATGAAAGAATCAGGTCTTTTCAAAGGTGTCCTCTCCAAATCCTTTTACATATTCAGCTCATGTAACAATATTTAAAACATGACTTAATTTACAGAGTGTTTAAGAAAAATATTAGCCAAGGTTGGAAACAAGGCAGAAAAATGACTGCTTGGTCATTTAACGGCATATTAGAGTTGTGCTGTCCAATAAGGTATTGGACAATAAGCTATTAATAAGCTATTGTCCAATAAGCTATTAATCACATGTGGTCATTTAAATCAAAATCGATGAAAATTAAATAAAATTAGTGTGGTAATCTCCACGTCCATCCAAGTTGTAGCAAAGGCCACTATTCCACTCTTTTCAGCGGCTGAGTAGTATTCCATTGTATCCAGGTACCACAACTTCTTTATCCATTCAGCTGTCAGTGGACACTTAGGTTGCTGCCATGTCTTGGCTATTGTAAACAGTGCTACAATGAACACAGGAGTGCATGTATCCTTTTGAACCATGGTTTTCTCCAGACATATGCCCAGGGGTGGGACTGCAGGGGCCTATGGTAGCTCTATTTTTAGTTTAAGGAGCCTCCCTCTGTTCTCCATAGTAACTGCACCAATTTACATCCCCACCAGCACTTTCCTCCACGCCCTCTCTGGCATTTATTGTTTGCAGACTTTTTGATGATGACCATTATGGCTATTGTGAGGTGATGCCTCACTGTAGTTTTGATTTGAATTTCTCCAATAATGAGCGATGTTGAGTGTCTTTTCATGTGTCTCTTAGCCATCTGTATGTTTTCTTTGGAGAAACGACTACTTAGATCTTTAACCTATTTTTGATTGGGTGGTTTGTTTTTTTCATATTAAGCGGCACAAACTCTTTGTAAATTTTGGAAATTAATTCCTTGTGGTTGCTTTGTTTGCAAATATTTTCTCCATTTCAAACACTCAACAGCCACATATGTGCAGTGCCTACCACACTGGACAGCACATGTACAGAATATTATTGTCATTGCAGAAAGTCTGCATACGCAGCACTGACTCATAAACTTACCCAGGTCGTCTAACGGTCTCAGGAAACGTAACTCATTGTGACTTACTGTTTATTACTGATTGGACCCTGACTCTGTAGAGACTGTATAAGACTGGTAACTTAAGAATCATATTGGTCTATTACAGGTGCAAAGATTCCTGCCCAGTTGAGCTATAACCAAAGATTACTGTTTTATTGCCTTGCAAGGCATTAATCAGTTGTGTCTAACTTTGCCATCTTATTCCAGCATTTTTTCCCCCCATCACTGTATCAGGTACACTGTCTGTGTACCTACCTACCTAGGCATTTTCTCATATCCTTCTTTGAACCAATTTATCTTCCTCCTCTTTTCCTCATTAATGTTTTAAATAAATCCTCAATATGAGTTTACTGCATATTTGACTAAGTTACTGTTTACTAACTTTTGGATGTTATAATTTGATCAAAGAAGCAACTTATCTTGATTTTTGTAAAACTCAGATGAAACAAAAAAAACTTTAGGCTCCACGAGCACAGGGTCCCCACCTTCTCCTCTCTGCTTGCTCATCTCCCCACACAGCTCTGCAGAGAATGGAAAATTGAGTGATGCTTGTTAACACAGAGATGAATGAACAGTGACTGACAAGTAAACCTGCTGTCTTTTTCCTCTTCCAATCGCCCATCAAAAACCTCTCTGCTGCTAGGGGTAATAAAAGCAAGGTTAGCTTATCCGTTGTGATGCGACTTTTACCTACACCAGACACAATTCTCTTGAACGTAAGAAACACACCACCCAATGTGTTGAACCGCAAATAAGACTCACCATTTGAGTTCACCTTTCCCGGCAGGACATTAACACTCCAGGAGCCAGAACTAAAAACCTTCAAAGCCAAAGCACAGTAGCCAAGAAAGCCCATGTAACACTCATCATTTAGGATATGTACGTGGGCACCCTAGGATTTTAATGTCTAAATAACATATTTTCACTGGCATGGTTCAACTGTAAATGCCTGGAAATCTTGTTTAAGGTTGCAACTCCTGTCACATCCCAGATATACACATTTTTCCAAGAAAACATAGTTTATTTTTGTACCTCTGGAGCTACAAATATGCTCAGAATTTAAAATAACAGGTTATAAATACCCTGCAACTCTAAGAGAATCTGTGCACTATGGTCACTTCAAACGCATCTTTTCCTGCAGAAAATATTAATGCATACGGGACACTTCTGGCTGCCAGATGTACAAACTCCACTTACAAACACTTCACTACTCTACTGCCAAGAAAGAGTGCCACCTGGAAGATCCAGTCTCTGCAGGTGCGAAGCCAGCGAGGTGTGGACAGAGGGGGTCTCCTCCGTTTATTAAAAACCAAATATTCAGTTCGGCACATTCGTGGTGAGGGAGCATGGAGCAGAGGATGCTCGTGCCAATCTCATGACACCGAGATGGAAGAAGAGAGGCTTAAGAACTTTATACGGCACTAATTATCTAGGGAGTGAGGTTCAGTAACAGTGATAGCAGAAACGAAATAGGACTTCTTGGCTTTCCAAATCAGAGTTTAGGCTGGATTACAGAAGGGGAATCTGAGTTTCAGGAAATTATTTCCACCACGACAGGATACTTGACTAAGACGGATGCGGTCAGGTACTTTTGCACACGGGTTGGGTGAACGGAAATGCCCTTGGGGGCCACAGAGGGGCCTGTCTTGTCCAAACATCCCTCCCCTGCAGTAGATACCGTGCGCTGTTCGGTAAACCTCATTTCCACTGCGTGGAGGCTCTCGTGTGTGCACGTGTGTGGGTGGCACCATAGCCCCATGCCACCAACATTTTATCCACTTAATGCTTTTATCTAGGTTGAATCTTCTTTTATTTCTAGCATTATTTAAAATGGAAACCTTTAACCTCTGGCTCGATTCAAAAGCTAGCAGTGTCATTAAAGAACGAGGGGGCACTCACACAAGAAACAGAGTGAAGTCCAGTAAAACAGTAGTCAGGGCTTCCCCGGTGGCACAGTGGGTGAGTCCACCTGCCAATGCAGGGGACACGGGTTCGATCCCTGCTCTGGGAAGACCCCACGTGCTGCAGTACAACCAAGCCCATGTGCCATAGCTCCTGGGCCCGTGCCAAGAGCACGTTACGTGCCCGTAACAGCAGAAGCCACTGCAGTGAGAAGCCAGCACACGGCACTGGAGACTAGCTCCCTGCTTCGCACAGCTAGAGGAAAGCCCACGTTGCAACAAGACCCAGCACAGCCCAAAATTAAATACATTAATGAAAAAAAAACAATACTCAGAAGTGATTTCTCTCTTGCTGGATCCGGGCTGTGCTAAAGATGTGGAGCCCAGCCTCCTCACTTCTGCCTGAAAAAGGACAGAGCCAGACTGAGGAAGAAGAGATCAGCCCTGACTTGAGACTTCCCTTTGAAGGATGGAGAGATAATAAACACGCTTCTCACTATGCGACTCAATGAGGTTTAAAGCCAGGAATCTGTCCCACCTAAAACTGAGAGCCTCGTAATTTGGGAATCAAAAAACTGTAGCCTCTCCCACACAAAACAAAACAAAGCCAAAAAAAACGTAGCCCAAATTTGTCATATGTAAAATGGGCTTTAGAACTATTGAGTTCAAACAGGAACAGACTCATAGACTTTTAAAGTAAACTTACGGTTACCAAAGGGGAAGGGAGGGACAAGTTAGGAGTCTGGGATTAACACACACACACACAGAAAACAGGTAACCAACAAGGGCCTACTGCACAAAACGCTGCTCAACAGGCTGCAGTCACCAGAAGGGAAAAGAATCTGAAGAGGAGTGGACACATGTGTTCACATACCTTTATCACTGTGCTATACAGCAGAAACTACACAACATTGTAAATCAACTAGATTTCCATATAAAATAAAAGCTAAATTGAAAAATTCTTGAAAAAGAAGTACCAAATTCAAGTGTGCTAGTTCTTGCAGCTGGTAGATGGGCAGAGACACACCTGGAGGAGAAAAGGCGGAAAAGCTGAGCAGGTCCAGGGGAAAGACTCGGTTCTCCTCCTCGGAGCGGCTGCAGGGGAGAGGGGAGGTGGGCAGGGCCCTGGAGGAAAGCTGAGCAGGTCCGGAGGAAGGACTCGGTCCTCCTCCTCAGAGCGGCTGCAGGGGAGAGGGGAGGTGGGCAGGGCCCTGGAGGGAAGCTGAGCAGGTCCGGAGGAAGGACTCGGTCCTCCTCCTCGGAGCGGCTGCAGGGGAGAGGGGAGGCGGGCAGGGCCCTGGAGGAAAGCTGAGCAGGTCCGGAGGAAGGACTCGGTCCTCCTCCTCGGAGCAGCCGCAGGGGAGAGGGGAGGCGGGCAGGGCCCTGGAGGAAAGCTGAGCAGGTCCGGAGGAAGGACTCGGTCCTCCTCCTCGGAGCGGCCGCAGGGGAGAGGGGAGGCGGGCAGGGCCCTGGAGGAAAGCTGAGCAGGTCCGGAGGAAGGACTCGGTCCTCCTCCTCGGAGCGGCCGCAGGGGAGAGGGGAGGCGGGCAGGGCCCTGGAGGAAAGCTGAGCAGGTCCGGAGGAAGGACTCGGTCCTCCTCCTCGGAGCAGCCGCAGGGGAGAGGGGAG